GGTTTGGCTAGCGGATTAGTACATTTACGAGCCGATAACCGATAAGTCGAACCGTTAAGCGTAACAATCCGTCTGATCCGCCCGATAAGCAACCCTAATTCCAGGAGTTAATGTTAGATGAAAATGTTGAAAATTTTGTCAGTTACACATGATTGTAGACCAAAATATAGTAAAAGTAAAATACAGTTGTTAAAAAGTAGCAAGACCTAAACCATGCTTATGATATTCTTTTATTTTTTTTTATTTTTTTGCATTTTATTCATCTTCAAAAGATTACATTGGGTTTGAGATAGTAATCAAAAAAGCCTACTACCTCCCTACTAACTTTTGAAAGATAGCATAAACTATTTTTGATACAAATGAAGATGAGGTAAATGCATTGGAGAGAGGATACATTGGCATCAACCATGAGTATCCATTCCATACAAAAGAACCTCCAAAAGGACTAATCCTACTAATTTACAAAACATCCTGGTATCAAGGTGGCTCGAAGGTGATGTTGGTTTATTTTTAATAGATCTTAGAAAAACATGCAATCTCCATCTATCCATATCCAAAAGACCTCTAACTTGAGTAGGCGGCTCTGCAAAGGAGTCATATATCAGGGATTGAGTTGCATTGCTTAGTGAGGCCGATCTATCTTTCACCTGATTACCTTCCCTATAACAATGATTAAGCTTGACGTTGGGTTGATTCATGTTCTCTTTGAGCTCTTGAACTTCTGTAGCTATCCTCCAAGGGGTGGTGTTAATACCATTCACACAGTCCACCAACAACTTAGAGTCACTTTCTGTCACAGTGCACTGATAATTATTAGCCAAACACCATTTGATGCCAAATACTAAGGCAGATGCGTCTGCCCAGTTGCTAGTTCCACATCCCAGTACTATAGAGTAAGCAAAAACCATACATTCTTTATCATTTTTGACTACCCCTCCACCACTACATATACTATTTTTACAACTACCATCTAAATTTAGTTTCACAAAAGAGGATTGAGATCTGATCCACTGTACTGGGATGCATTGTCTAAAATGAATGGTACTACATATCAACTGAGCTATTCTTGACCAACTATGATCCAACTTGATCTTTTGAAACTGCACATTCACAATGTGAGCCATATAAAAGGAAATAAGAGATAAAGTTCTATTCACATTGGGTGCGATATTTTCATATTTGGCACTACACCTGGCCTTCCAAATTTCCCATGAAGCTATTATTGGAAGACACTTAGTAATATAAGCATGGATAAGATTATTATCCTTACAACTCCACCAGCTTATAAGCAAATATATGTATTGAATACCAGAGTAGGCTATCCCTAGAGGCCCACACAGTCTTCTCCACAGTTCTTGAGCAAAAGTACCTTCACAGAACAAGTGATCTATGGTTCCTAAAGTTGGTTCTCTACAGTAAATACACTAGATGGTACTGTTATGCCCATTCTAGCAAGTCTAGAATCAATAGGGATTTTGTCTCTCAATTCTCTCCAAGTAATGAAACTCATCTTGAATGGCACACCTTTCTGCCATGTCATAGCATTGATCCAAGTATTCTGTCTCATTCTTCTTGATGAGCTTAATTTTGCTTGATATTTCAGATTCTTTTTGTCTCTAATCGGGTTGATTTGATAGGGACTTTGCTTAAATTGTGGTCTAATATGTTACATTTTGGTACAGGTGTAGATGAAATTGTCATGGGACAAACAATGGACAAGTTGGGGAAAAAAGAGATGAAGAAGAGGAAAAGGAGTTGCACGGCCGCACAGCTGAAGGCCAGAACACGCATATGAGCGCGCACAGAAGGCAGGCGACTGGAGGATATGTGCGCCCACATGCGCGCCCAAGATCTCAGGTGCGCGGCAACGCACGTCGGCTTATGGGAAACTTAAGTCAGGCCTATTTTTGTAATTTTTTGGGCATTCTCCTTGACTTATATGAAGCCTAAGCTCGTTCCAAACTAGGATCTTGGATTTTGGAGCAAATTTTGGAGAGAAAACGTTAAGGAAACAACAGAGAATTCGAATACTTCATCTGAATCATTCAATACGAAAGTTTGTTTGAATTTATGAGTTGTAATATTTTCTTATTCTCTTAATACTCTCGTGATAAACAATTTCTACATTATGGAGTAATCATTCTTAGGATAGTTGACAGATATTGTGTCCTGATTGTTATTCGAGGATTTGACGTCTGTAGTGCTTGAATTCATTGTAAGAGTTTCGAATTGAATTGCAAAGTTATTTGTGGTTTCACTTTAATCGGAAGAGAAGTATTGCTGCAAATATAATTGTGTTTTCTTGTCTAGATGAATTTCACGGCTCTCATAGGTAATCAAAAGAGCTTGTAGAGTTATCAATTAACATAATCTAGAGGAATAGTCGAGAGACATTCTTCATAAGACCAATCATTCAACGTATTCTTGCAGAAGTTCATAGCACTTGTCATTAGGTTATTCAATGGAACTCTCATTCATTCGAAAGAAGAATTTGAATCCTAAAGATAATCTAATCAGTTGTTGAAATCAAAAGAGTCAACAGAACTTCAGAATTGAACTTGAAACAGAGTTATATCCCAAATAATAGTTGTGCACATATCTTGTCAATGCCCTTAGTTCTCGCACTGATATTCAATTGTTGCTACCTAATTCCTCATTTTCCCATAATCATTCGTAATTGATAATCTTAGTTGTTACTCTTAGTTCTTTAGTAATTCAAAATTAAAGGTTTATTTTCCTGAATAATGTTAAACTAAAAATTATTCGAATAATATTTAAACCAATCCCTGTGAAGACGATTTAATAACTATACTATCTTTGACTAGCGAGTATCAGTTTTATTCACCGGTTCAACGCTTATCAAATTGGCGTTGCTGCTGGGGATTGGCGATTAACAGTGCTCACAATTATTTTCGGTGCTAATTCAGGAACCAATTTTATTTTATTTTTCAATTTCTCTCATCTGTGTGCAGGCAACATGTTAAGTTCGGTGGTGTATGACTCGATCCTCTTCAAAGGAATTGGTGCCATATAACCTAGAATTGGACAAGCACCTGTGGTAGTTGAGAAAGGAGAAAGAATCAAGTGAATCCTTTTTTGGTCAGACTTCGACTCAAGATAAGATGGTACACCATGAAGATGAGGGGTGGACTTAGCTGCAAGAGAAGCAGCACAACAAAGAGAACTAGATGCAAGGGTAGCAGCTGAAGCGGCTCTCCGAGTTATTGATGAGATCGTCGAAAGGGCTGGGGGTCGAAGATTCAATCTAAATCGACCCAAGGTTGAAGACGAGTTTGAAAATGCGGCCCTCAGTCCTGGGAGATCACTGGGAGATTATGCCACACCAGTCTACAACCAATGACAGTCCAATGTGAGACCTCCATCCATTGTTGCTAATAATTTTGAACTCAAGCAGGGAATCATCCATACCATTCAAAACAATTGTATCTTCAGAAGCAAACCCAACAAAGATCCTAACAGTCATCTGATGGACTTTGATGAAATCATGAATACTTTCCACTATAACGGAGAATCACACGATGCCGTATACCTCAGATCATTTCCTTTCTCACTGAACGATGCTTCAAAGTAGTGGCTACAGAGCCTACCTACTGGGACAAAGACATCCAGGTTTTTCATGGAGCTCTTCAAGTGGTAGTCTAAATTTATGGCAACAGCAAAATCCTAGAGCACTAGGGCAAGGACCTCCTGATTTTCAAAATCGGCAAAGGCAACAGTACCAGCCTCCATAGCCCAACCATTCAAGTTTAGAGGATCTAATGAAGGCGTTCATCAACAAATCAGATGAAAAATTTGAAACCCAGGGCACAACCATCCAGGAACAGGGCACAAACATCCAGAATTTAGAAAGACAGATGGGGTAGATTACAAATATGTTGTCTGAAGGAGCCCCTGG